GATTTTAATCAACGCTTCTATCTGCAAACAGATGCCAGCAATATCGGAATAGGGGCCGTCCTTACACAGAATTTCGAGGGTATAGAAAAGGTTATAGCCTATGCTAGTCGGCATCTTACCACACCTGAAATCAACTACTCAGCAACGGAGAAGGAGTGCTTAGCCATAGTGTGGGCAATCCGAAAAATGAAGCCATACCTGGAGGGCTATCATTTTACAATAATCACGGACCATCTGGCCCTGAAATGGCTCAACTCCATCGAGAATCCCACTGGTCGCATTGCACGTTGAGCACTGGAACTTCAACAATTTCAGTTTGACATACAATATCGACGCGGCAAACACAACGTAGTGGCAGACACTCTGTCAAGACAACCCGTAGGAGATATCAATCAAATAATAACCACTCTAGAAAACAACAAACCGGAAAAGTGGTATCGAAGAAAATTTCAAAACACTCGTGAGAGACCAAGTGAAAATCCAGACTTTACCATTTGTAATCAACAGTTGTACAAATATCTTCCAATAACTCAGACTGAACAAACTGAAAGCAAGTGGAGATTATGTGTTCCCGAAGAACAACGTCAACGCGTAATAGAAGAAAACCATAATGAAGCACATGCTGGACATTTTGGCATAAGGAAAACTGTTAAACGAGTGCAGAATCGTTATTACTGGCCTGGGATGGCCAAGGACATCGCTAATTACGTTAAACGATGTGATTTATGTCAAAAATATAAACCTATGATGAATAAACCAGCTGGAATGATGCTTACCACAATAGCCGAAGAACCTTTCACCACCATCACCGCTGACTTTGTAGGTCCATTACCACGGTCAAGAAGTAGTAACACAATGCTACTCGTTATATTGGATAAATTTTCTAAATGGGTGGAACTGATCCCCATGCGAAGAGCTACCAGCGAGAATACCATAAAAGCTATCAGAGAAAGGATATTATGTAGATTTGGAGCTCCGAAACATATTATCACCGATAATGGTCCTCAATTCACCAGCAACCTGTTTAAGGAATGGCTATCCAAAATGGGTATTCGACATCAACTTACAGCACCATATACTCCTCAAGAAAACCCCACGGAACGTGCCAATCGGACCATTAAAACGATGATAGCCCAGATGACACAAGGAGAACACAGACGTTGGGACGAAATGTTGCCGGAAGTAACCTTGGCTTTCAACACGTCAGTGTCAGATTCAACCAAATACAGCCCAGCATATTTAGTACAAGGACGGGAGCCAAGATTACCAGCTACACTTTTTGACGAATGCACAATAGGTACTGGTACTGTAGCTACAACACCTTTAAGGAGGGCAGATAAACTCCAAGAGATTTTTCACAAAGTTCGACAAAATTTACAGGCAGCAGCCACTACCCAAGCTAAATACTATAACGAAAAACGAAGGAGGTGGAAGCCTAAGATCGATCAGTTGGTACTAGTCAAACAACATCCACTGTCTAAAGCGGCAGCTGATTTTTCAGCAAAATTAGCTCCGAAATTTGAAGGCCCTTACCAAGTAAAAACATTCATATCTCCAGTTATAGTTAGCCTGAAAGCAGTCAGAACAAACAAAATAATAACAGCCCACATTTCAGATTTAAAAATATATTATGGAAACCAAAAAAAAGTTTCGAAATAAATACTAACATATACATGTCAATGTTCAAAATACCGACTGTAGGGTACATCGTAAAACCTATCAACACCTAAAAGGATAACTTTATTAACGGAATAAGTTAAAGTTTAAAATTTACGGTAAAACAAAACGATACCGATATCCCTTAAAGTATAAAAAGAAACTTACTCAGATAATGCAGTCATTTACAAAGATTAGCAAATACCGTCAAGATGAGTCAGCAAGACAAAAAATTCAAAACATCCATTATCAAATTTCGACAACGGTTGGAACAACTACAAGAACAGAGGCCACGCACGAAATATGTACCAGTGGTCGAATCCAAATTAAAAATCAAGAGCGAAATACACAAAGTAATGAGGAAGTCCAAAGATATCAAAAGGCAACCTAAAAAGAAAAAAACACAAGTTAATAAAGGTATTAAAGAAAGCACTAAAGTCATACCAAAAATCACGCCAACAGATCGTGTAACACTCCCCAAAGCCAGCGGTTGGCGATCAAAGACAGGCCCGCAAGTTCAATTAGAAGATGTCCAAGAAAACAATGTCGAACGTTCCAACAGTACAATACAGCAAGAAAACGTTAAACCATCGCTTCTCTGGGAACCCATAAAAACACCATGCCATGATATAATTGAAGACATCATCGAACTGGACTGTAATTGGCAGCAAATGGAAGCAATGATGAATACATCGTCAACATTACCACCGAACATAACAAACGCAGGCGATAAATTGTCAAAAATTAAATGCACCACATGGCCGGCTGAACTGGAAACTCAGATACGTGAGGTAAAATCCCAACAGAAACGCAATAAACGTAGTACATTTCGGCGCACCGTGAACAACGTGATATATCTGGTGAGGATTAGTAAACGTGGCGAAGCAGCCGTACATATTGTTCCATAAAACAATAATATTTTTTTTTTTTGTTTTTCCCGAAGAAAGCGGGAAATGTAAGGATGGAAATTTCTTTATTGAATTTTCCTCCTACATGCTTCCACCTAGAGACCTGAAAGTATTAAAAAAAAATTTTTGAATTTAATAAATTTCACTAAATGCACTAACTTACCAAAGAAGAAAACAAACAAAAGAAATCCACCCCGTATGTGCATGTGCACAAAATATGAAGAAAACTGGAAACTTTATATTGAATTATTGTAACCTGAAAATAATGTAATATTATCAGAATAATAAATATTATGAATAAAAGATATAAAATACTTACGAAATTTATTTTATATACACTTATTTAATTGTTGGAAATTAGACTACTACACGTGAAGTAAAGAATCAAAACAAGATACAGGAAGAACAAGCAAGAGTTGTCAAAAGTTTTCGCCGTAATAATTATTCAAAGATGACGAGAAGAGAGCGCAAAGGAAAATAGAAACCCAAAATGAGTACTGTATGCCAGATGAGATAGCAAAACTAACAACGGAAAAATAAACAAAGATCAGCAAACCAGCAGTAAACAAAAATGAAACGCTACATAAAAAGCTCGGCTGTTCAGGTATATAAGACGCACACTTTTCATATGAAGGGTACTTGAAATATTACTTCAAAGGCACATACACCTAGGAAGAACAAGTCAACTAAGCTCTAGAGGCACAAAGGCATAATAACTATTAGGACACGACAGGTGGTTTAACGTCGACTGGGTCCAAAATAGTTAATAAAATTAAAATACATAAGGATATTTTATATAAAAAAATATCGAATCAAGGTATAATAACTATTAGGACACGACAGGTGGTTTAACGTCGACTGGGTCCAAAAATAGTTAATAAAATTAAAATACATAAGGATATTTTATATGAAAAAAATATCAAAATCAAAATATAATAATTATTAGGACACGACAGGTGGTTTAACGTCGACTGGGTCCAAAATAGTTAATAAAATTAAAATACATAAGGATATTTTATATGAAAAAAATATCAAAATCAAAACATAATAATTATTAAGACACGACAGGTGGTTTAACGTCGACTGTGTCCAAAATAATTGCTAACATCAAAATATATAAGGATATTTTATATGAAAAAAATATCAAAATCAAGGTATAATAATTATTAAGACACGACAGGTGGTTTAACGTCGACTGTGTCCAAAATAATTGCAAAAATTTATATAATTATAAATACAAAATCAGGGGCTTGAAGAAGGAAGATCTATCAAAGATATTCAAGGACTGACACTTCTCCAAGAATATCTTTATTTTATTATTAAATTTTTATCCTTTTGAAAAAAAAAACTACATATTTAAATTTTGTATATATATACATATATATTTATTTTATTTTTTTTTCTGTGGAACAAAGTTAATTTGTTTTACTATACTAAATAAATATTTAAAATTTATGAACTCTGAATAAAGTATTAAGTAAATAAAGAAATTGAAATAAAATCACAGCGCTTTGAATATTTTGGTCACAATCTATAAATTTATTGTGACGACTTTGGTGAGACTGAGCATACCTCAGCAAATAGGCAACGACTGCGAGAAAGGGTCGTTACAATTTTGTGAATGATAAACTGTTCAAAAATAATTTAAAATAATAAATACGTTCAATTTATACATTACTTTTAAAATTAAATAATTTAAGATAACGAAGATACAATAATTTTTATAAAATATCTGATTAATCGAAAATGTTAAATTTACTTTTGATTAATTTAATTAAATGATTTTATTTTGTAAATACTGTTCAAAAATAATAAATACGTTCAATTTTATACATTACTTTGAAAATTTAGTAATTTAAGATAACAAAGATACAATAATTTTTATAAAATATCTGATTAACCGAAAATGTTAAATTTACTTTTGATTTATTTAATTGATTTTATATGATATTTTGTAAATACTATGTTCATATAATTTTCTACAATATTTTAACTACCACAAAAAAAAAAAAAAGAATATATAATTACAATTACATATAATTATATATATATATAATTACATATCTAATTACAATTTTATATATATATATATGTAAAAGTTAATTTAATTCAAAATTAATAATAGTTTATTTAAAAGTTAGTTTAACTCAAAAAATAAAAACAATAATTGAAATTCAGGATAACTACCGACGACCGCTGCTGTTGACTGCTTAATCTTGACTACTACTGCTGATTACTCACTCTCGACTGACTTATACTACTGCTGATTACTCACTCTCGACTGACTTATACTACTGCTGATTACTCACTCTCGACTGACTTATACTAATGCTACTGTTTTACCGACTTCTGCTTGACTGCTTAATCGGCTTACATTCGGCCATCCTGTTCTCCATCATCGGTCCCAGATGACAATAGTTCCTCATTATTTTCTATTTATCTCCATAACTTCATATTATCTGAACTCGTATTTGAAATATTGGGTCCCTCCACGTCAGCTGTTTTGCGTACTTCGTACCGACCATTACCCTTTACATTGGTGACTTCATACGGTCCTAGAAATTCACTTGCTATTTTTCGACCAGCCACGAACTGTATACGCTTTATGGCTACCCAATCACCAACTTTGTAATTTGTATCTGCCTTTCGTTTCTTATTGTAGTTGTATTTGTAATGTTCTTGAGCCCTTAGTATCTCTTCTCTCGCCTTTTCTCGTACTCGTTGTCGTTCCGTTTCAAAATCGTGCAACATTTCAGCCTGAAGAGCTTCTAAAACTTGGTCATCAATACCATTTCTCATACGTACCTCAAACATTAATACAAAGGGTGTCGACTTTGTGGAGCTATGAATAGAAGAATTGATAGCTTTTTGCACGTTAGAAACGTACTTATACCATTCTTTGGGTTCAGCTGATGATAATTTAGATATTACGGCTGAAATTGTTCGGTTAACCCGTTCTATTTGCCCGTTACCTCGTGGAACTCCAGTAGTTGTCAGTATATGTTCGATACCGTTAGTATTTACAAATTCAATAAATGCATTCGATGTAAACGCAGCACCTCGGTCACTGATAATTCTTGCTGGTGAACCAAAAACATCCGACCATTTAGTCAAATGTCGCAAAACTTCTTCGTACCCCATTGATTTTGTGGCATATAGCCAAACAAACTTTGAAAATGCATCCACGACGGCGAAGATATATTTGTATTGTTTAGATGTTGCATCCATTGGCCCGAGATGGTCGACATGCAGCGTTTGTAGTGGTAAATCACCTTTTTCAATACAGTGTAGAAAACCTTCTTTCTTGCCTAATTTCTTGTTGTGTATGATGCAGCTTAGACAGTTTTTTATAAATTGATTAACTTTCGCCTCGATATGTGGTATCCAATAATACTGCTGTATGGTGTGCATCGTTTTCTGAGTTGCAAAATGTCCTACCTCGTGTGCATTACGAATTACTTCTAATTCCAAAGATCTTGCTTTTAGTATTTCAAAAATAGCTTTAAAGTGTTCATCGCGATATTGAGCACTTAGTCGAGCTGAAATCTCTGATGACACTGACAAAACTTGTGGATAGCGGCTTAAACAATCCACGTGCCGCAAGCTACTGCTGCTTCTGTGCTCAATTTCATAAGTGTAATTTTGCATGTGCATGATCCAGTTCGCAACGTCGCGTGGTATATCTGTTTTATTGACGGTTTGTTTAAATGCTCCGCAATCGGTTACTAATTTAAACGGAATACCCAATAAATAATGTCGAAATTTTTTCGTCGCAAGATAAGTGGCTTTAACTTCTAAAATGTAGCTATGTTGTTTCTCTTCACGTTCAGACGTTTTCTTACTCCAATATGCAATTGGGTGCATTTGCCCTTCAGTTTGTTGTAACAACGTCGCACCGAAACCGTCTTTTGAAGCGTCTGTGTGTAGCTCTGTTGGCGCATTCCAGCGATATATATGCAAAACCGGTTCTTGTGTATGTGCTTCAGCTTTTCTACCGTATTTAATTGTTCAACTTCCATCTTAAATGGCGTATCTTTTTTCAGCAGACTTGTGAGTGGACGTGCAATCTGTGCGTACCCTGTAACAAATTTTCTAAAATATCCTGTCAACCCCAAAAACGATTGAACAGCTTTAATGTTTTTCGGCGTTGGAAACTTCATTATGGCTTTAGTTTTGTTTTTACCGGGCCAAATTTTATTATTTTCGAAGTTTTCGGCTGATATTTTTTCATTTTTTTTCTCTTCCTCTTCCTTGTTTATTTTGAGGGTAAGCAATTGTATCAATTGCTTTAAGTCTGTTTCGCTTTGTCTGTTTCGTTATTTTTTTCAACTTCTTCTACGTCTTCGTATTCTGTGCTACTTCTGCTGCTATCCGCTGTTCTGAACTCTTCTTCTGCTTCGTTTTTATTTTTGACTCTTGTCTGAATACGTCGCGACTTTCTGACGCCCTCCGTTATTTGTCCTTGAACACTTTTTGGTATGTTTGAAGAATTTTTTTCGTTCATTCGTTGTTTGGGCCGTTTGCGCGTTCACTTTTTACAACGCTATGTTCGTTCCCCTTCTTAAATGCAATAACTGTACCAGCACGTAGCTCGTACAAACGAAAAACTGTTAATAACAAATTATGCGACTCAATTTTAAAGATTCGTACACACTTTTAATTGTATTTTAGCGCTTTTTAGGTTGAGCCCCCAAATGTAAAAGTTAATTTAATTCAAAATTAATAATAGTTTATTTAAAAGTTAGTTTAACTCAAAAAATAATAACAATAATTGAAATTCAGGATAACTACCGACGACCGCTGCTGTTGACTGCTTAATCTTGACTACTACTGCTGATTACTCACTCTCGACTGACTTATACTACTGCTGATTACTTACTCTCGACTGACTTATACTACTGCTACTGTTTTACCGACTTCTGCTTGACTGCTTAATCGGCTTACATATATACCTCTATATTTTCTTAAAGTGCATGTCCATGTTAGCATTTCCTTTAGATAGCAAAATAGCAAAATAAGATAGTAAAATAATTGCCATTCACGAAAAGCCAATATCGTGAATGAACTAGAAATATTAGATAACAAGGGGGACATTACATGGTATCTTATGGTTATAATATTAATATTATTGTCTGAAATGGCATTAAAATTACATCAATTACACAAAAATTCACTTAACAAAAAGTACAGGAGAGCAACATCAGTTGAACAAAATTTAGACCGTGTATAATATTTGTTTACACTTCCACAAAATCCTATTTTCTATTTAACAAAAAAAAATTTTTTTCAATGTAAGCTAAATAGTTTTAACCTAACAATCTTTGATCAATTGCCTATAATCACCATCATCTACTGGTAGATGGAATGGCAACAGATCATAAATAAAATCAGTGCTCATAAAGAAGTTTTTGACAAGTCGTACAAAAGCCTAAATATTAATAGGCATACGACATCAGAAACTATCAAGAAGCACATAAGCATTCTCCTTAACAGTTTGGAAAGTATACGAGTAATACTAAACGTAAATTACTCGCGGATTATTTTAGAACACAAAAAACAAGCCGAAACTTTCTTTATAAATAACAGAGAGAAAATTTTAAAAATCTCTGAAAAAAAGGCATAGAAATAAAATTGCCTGATACAATACATGAGAAAATCTCATATAACTTCACGTTAGTAAAACCAGAACACATTGACACTAACAAAATGCCACAAACACCAATAGAATTCTTGGGAATCGCATCTAAAATCGTATCAGATTTTGATGGTACTCCCGAAAATTTGATAAGTTTTGTAGCCTTACTGGAACTTCTTAGCAGTGTCAATGATGGTAATGATGGTAATGATGGCAATGACGTAATTGCAATCATCCTAATAAAGACAAAACTAAAAGGAGCAGCAATAAATTTGATCACAGGATCAGAAACGACGATACCGTAGTAATAGAATCTCTAAAGAAGAGAGTTAAAGGCGAATCCGTTGATGTCATCACTGCAAAGTTGATGAATATTCGTCAAAATTCCAAACCTGTGAATGCATATGCCAAGGAAATCGAAGAACTTACAAAAAAGCTACAGTATGCATATATTTCGGATGGGCTTACCCCGATGAAAGCTGAATCTTGTTCAACTAAGGCAGCTGTTAAGGCGATAATAAGAAATACGATCAATGATAGAGTTCGACTAGTAATAGAGTCGGGAACTTTCAACAACATGAGTGGGGTGGTAGCAAAGTTCGTAAACTCCTGCATGGAATCAAATAGTCAACCATCCGCAATACTACATTTCGGAAGTAGACGCGGACAATTTAATGGACGCGGACAATCCTATAGACGTGGACAACCAAATGGACGCGTACAATTTCGAACACGCGGGCAATATAGGAACAGCTACAATAGCAATAGCGGATATAATCCTAATAATAGGAATAACTACCAGAACAACAGAGTACAAAACAAAGGAAATGTTCGTATTATACAGGAGACGGAAAACGAGTCCACTCCAGGTGCTCAACTATTAAAAACATCAACAGAAAAATATATAATATTAATTTAAATCTTGCCAATTTCATTTTAACTAGATCCACACTAAGTAATAAAGTATCAATTTTTAATTGATACGGGTGCGGATATTTCTGTAATTAAAAATAGAGAAAATAAAAAAAGTTAGTATTAATTCAAATGCTACAACAAGCCTTAACGGCATAGGAGATGGTATAAAATATACTTTAGGAAAAGTTGAAACAGATCTCAAAATTGAAAACATGCTAATACAACATAGTTTTCATGTTGTCGATGATGATTTTCCCATCCCCTCGAGTGGAGTACTTGGGCTCGATTTTCTTGGAAAATACAATTGCATCCTTGAATATCAACAAGATCAAGACATTCTAATATTGAGACCATATAATTTCCTTCAACATCTGGCCATACCAATGGTAAATAACCTCAGAATAAACTCAATTTCACTTCCGGCGAGATCTGAAGTTATAAGAACCATTGTTACAGATTCCTCCTACGAAGAAATATTTATACCCCATCAAGAAATACAGAATGGTATTTTTGTAGCAAATACAATAACAAGTAAACGTACTTATGTACGTATAATTAACACTACCAATCAACACGCCTTCATACCAACTCTTAAAATTATTACAGAAGATCTTAACGATTACAGTGTAATATCAAAACCACAAATAACCAATGATAAAATAAAGGTGGAAAAATTATCGAAAAAATTCCCCGCTTTTGTAAAAACAAAATTAGAAAACTTGTGCAAAAAATATGTAGATATATTTGCACTTGAATCAGAATCTATCTCAGTTAATAACTTTTACAAACAAAAGTTGCGCTTAAAAACAAAAGAGCCAACATATCAGAAAAATTACAGATTACCATATACCCATAAAGATGAAATAACCAGGCAAGTAAATAAATTAATTAAAGATAATATCATAGAACCATCAGATTCTGAGTATAACAGCCCTGTACTGTTAGTACCAAAAAAGTCATTAAAAAAAAATAGATGATATTCTTGATCAATTGGGCAGAGCAAAATATTTCTCTTGCCTCGATTTGACATCTGGTTTCCATCAAATTGAACTAGATGAAAACTCACGGGACATTACGTCATTTTCTACAGATAAAGGATCATTCCGTTTTAAACGTCTACCATGTGGGTTAAAAATTGCTCCAAATTCATTCCAACGAATGATGAAAATAACATTTTTAGGTTTAACTCACGAACAAGCATTTCTGTACATGGACGATTTGGTAGTACTCGGGTGTTCAGAAAAACATATGTTAAAAAATTTAACTGACGTATTTGAAATATGTCGAAAATATAACTTAAAATTGCACCCAGATAAATGCTCATTTTTCGGTCACGAAGTGACTTACCTTGGGCATAAATGTACAGACAAAGGCATTTTGCTATATGATAGTAAATTTCAAACTATCTTAGATTATCCGACACCAACAAATGCAGATGCTATTAAACGATTCATTGCATTCTGCAACTATTACAGACGATTCGTTCCTAAGTATCTTTAAAGTAACAACAAGGCTTCAAAGCAAAAAAGATAATAAGTTGGAAACAGCAGTTGGAATTCGACAAGAGCGAGTGTCGTCTACAGAAAAAGTCTATGTCTACGAGGCGCCTAAATGGATAAAAAACAGTGCACGAATTGTTTCACAATTCAATAAAATCCTAATCAAAAAGGGGAAAAAAGTAATAAGCACTATAAGACAAAAAGAAAGTACTGTTCATGGAAAAATTGATTTAGATCAATTATTTTTAAAGCTTGAAAATATAGCTAGCAGTAATAAAATAAAACGATTCCAATTATCACTAGATGATAATCTGGTAAACGCAATCAAAATAAACAATTTAAAAGACATAGCAAACAAAAGAAAGCAAATAGAAATTGCTCTTCTACCATGTTTTGAAAAAATAATAGACGAGAATGAGAAACTTAAAATACTCGAAAAGTTTCATGAGGATTCAATTTTTGGAGGTCATCCAGGAATCCAACGCATGAACACCAAAATAGGTAGATACTTTTATTGGAAAAATATGACAGAAGACATTCGAAAATATGTTAAAGGCTGTCATAAATGTTAATTAAATAAAATCTCAAGACATATCAAACAACCTATGATATTGACTTCAACTCCACAAAATGCTTTTGACAAAGTGGTGATAGGTACCATTGGTCCTTTGCCGCGAACTGAGTACGACAACGAATATGCTGTTACAGTAATGTGTGACTTAACAAAGTATTTAATCGCAATCCCGGTTCCAAGCAAAAATGCGATGGTAGTTACAAGGGCAATATTCGAAAATTGCATACTCATCTATGGACCC